CCAGCGCCTGCCCCTGCCATTGCAGGACCCCCACCCGGAAGGGCCCGCGGGGAGGGCTCGCTCCTCGCCCGCTGCTGAGGGCAGTTCATCACTAGGTCCCGGGCTCCTGCGCTACGTGGGGGAGCCCCTCCCCCCGCCCCCGGGGAGGGCACTGTTCTCGGGGTCGGTACCGACAGGTATGGCGGGGTAGGTGCCAGAGACGTGGGCAGAAACTGGGTTATAGGTGATTGGATGCTAAGTCACGTGTACAATTCGATTTTCTTTTTTCTTTCAAACCCTTTTAGGAGCCAGTTCCAATTGGACCGAGCGCCCCCCGCCTCTCTTCAGGAAAGTCGTTATTATGCTGATCGATGCCTTGAGAGATGATTTTGTGTTTGGGTCAAAAGGTGTGAAGTTTATGCCTTACACCACTTACCTTGTGGAAAAAGGAGCAGCTCACAGTTTTGTGGCTGAAGCAAAGCCGCCTACAGTTACCATGCCGCGAGTCAAGGTAAGCGGTTTCATATGTGTTTTATAAATCACTAGACCCAGGTGCACAAAACTCACGCGAGGGGCTCAGCCCTCGCAGCTGCCCAGCCCCGGCTTTGTCCGGTGGAATGGCCGGAGGTGGTTCTGCTGTTCCGTGTAGTTAGCACATTAGCTCTTTAGTACAGAGGACGGTTTGGCTCTAAGAGGTTCAGAGGGCTCTTTGTAGTCTGTTACTTGTCCACATTTGAAATGCATTCGGTGCCGTCAGCCTGGCTGGGGCGCAGACGGACGAAAGCCTGACAGATAAGGTAGAACTGAGACCCCGGTGTGTACCCCTTTTCCAGCAGCCAGCGTTCAAGCTTCCTGGGCAGCATAATGGATTGAAAGCCAGATGTTCCAGGCCAGCCTGGTCTCGGGGACGCCCTCCTCCTTGCCACCCTATTGTTTTCTCTGATTGCCATTAGGTCAGTTATAATCCTGGAAAGGCTTAAGGGTGATCCCGTTCAGTCTCTTGACTTTATCGATGAGAAGGGAAGCCCAGACTTGCCCCGCACTGAAGCGAACAGTGACTGACCCGGCCGGGTCTGGCCTCCGCAGTTCTCCTGTGTCTGCTGTATCACCTGCCTGCAGCTGCTTGGCCTAGTGAGTGTGGCTTTCGAGTGACTCGTGCTTCACCCAGGAACTATGGGTAAAGAGAAGACTAAAGCTTTATTAGGGACCATTTCCGAAGGAGGGCACAGGCTTGGAGTACCCAAGTCACGCACCTGGATTGGGGACTGGAGCACAGGCTGCCTGGCTCCAAAGACTGGGCGTCACAAGGCAGCACACAGCCGCACTGCGGAGCAGGGAGACTAAAGACAGGTCCTTCTCAGAGGGCAAGAAGCCACCCTTCCCAAGGCCGTGGCAGCCACAGGAACCTCCAAGGACATGACAAACTGAGTTCTCCCTTCGCCCTTCCTCGGGCCCCCAACTGCAATTCGGTCGCTCCCTGCATGCCCCCTGGGGTGACAGCCCAGAGGGTAAGAAGAGTTCCATAAGGCAAGAAATTGCAGTGTCCGTTAAACTTGTGAAGAGATTCTTTTTACTTTACTAGTAATCATAGCAACGCAAATTAAAACCATCTGCAAGGCCAAATTTTGTCTATCGCCTTGTAAAAATTTAAAGATTGATGATAACCTACTCTTCACGAGAAAGAAGGTGAACAAGCATCTTAATTCTGAGACTATAGCTGGACTGAGCCACCTCCCTCCTCCAGTCCAATGTAGTCTCCGGCTCGTGCCCCTCGACTTGGTGCCCCCCACTGTGCCTACTCACCCAGGCCTCATGGCGGTCATGCCCGTTCACCTCCCCCTCGTCCAAGCTACTTTCCTCTTTCATGATCACACATAGCTTGGCTCCCATGCACACTGCCTTCTGGCCTCAAGCCTTTGCAGTTTCTGTGTCTCCCTAGGAAGGCCCCAACTCATTTCACCTAGACAGCACTTCAGTCTCAGGTCTCAGCTCAAATGGTACTTCCATTGGAAACTTTTTAAAGAAAGTATCCATTAAAATGGTCTTGGTTAAATATATTGTGCATTCAAATGTTGGATGTAAATATATTGTACACTCAAATACTGAAAACATAGCCCCAGCTGGTGTGGCTCAGTAGATAGTGCCAACCCTCCCACTGAAGGGCCATGAGTTCGATTCCCGTCAAAGGCACATACTGGGTTGCAGGTTCCATCCCCGGCCCGGTCGGGCATGTGCAAGAGGCAACCAATCGATGCGTCCTTCTCACGTGTTTCTTCACTCCCCTTTTCCCGTCTTTTTTTTAAAAAAAGAAAAAATATCCTTGGGTAAGGGTTAATAAATATTTGTGTGTGTGTGTGTGTGTGTGTGTGTGTATGTGTATGGGTGTATATATATATATGTATATGTATATATACACACACGTAAATTTATATGTAGTTTTTATAGCTGTTAAAAGATAAAGTAGCTATTTGTTTTCTGGGGAAAGGAATCAGTGGTCTGTTATTAATTGGAAAATAAAACCAAGTTGTAAAATTATTTACATAGTTTGTTACCATTTTGGTGAAAAATGTATCTTTGTATATTTTTGGTTGTACACCTACAGAAGAAAGTAAGGGTACTTACCAAAAATAACCAGTTATCTTTAGGAAGTAGAATTTGGGGTAAGAGAGAGGCTCACATTTTGAGAAATAACTTTAGCCCTAGCTGGTTTGGCTCAGTGGATAGAGCGTCAGCCTGCAGACTGAAAGGTCCCAGGTTCGATTCCAGTCAAGGGCACATGCCCGGGTTGCAGGCTCGATCCCCAGTTGGGGGGGGGGGGTGTCCAGGAGGCAGCCAATCAGTGATTATCTCTCATCATTGATGTTTCCATCTCTCTCTTCCTCTCTGAAATCAATAAAAATATATTTTAAAAAAAAGAAAAAGAAATAACTCTAGCCCTGGCCAGTGTGGCTTGGTTGGGTGTCCTTCCTCTGCACCGGAGGGTCGCTGGTTCAATTCCTGGTCAGGACACATGTCCTGGTTGTGGGCTCCGGCTGGATGTCTCACTCTTACCTCTATTGCATCGAGCTTATGGAAGTCCATTACACCTGTCTTCATCTCTCTAGAAATCAATTTTAAAAATCTTAAAAGGAATACCTTTATGGAGATAGAATTTTCGTCCAATCCAGCACATGCATTTGTATGTGGATAGCTGGACAAGACATAACGTGTGTATATCCATGCTCCCTCCTCCACTCGAGATCGACCCTCACCCAGGAGTGGTGGCTGTCGTCGCTGTTGTGTGTGTGGCGCGACCTGCCTGGACTAGGCCTGGAGAGTGTCTCCCTGAGTGCAGGGCAGCTGATGTCTCTAAGGCCGTTTTTCCGATTCTTGTTTTTAGTTTTAGGCTAGTATTTCCAGGGGCTGCTCAGGGTCAGCGCAGGTTAGCAATTGCTCAGAAGTTGTGCATAAAGACCTAGTGTGGTGAGGCTACCACCCTTCGTGGGGTCACGTGTGGACGGGCCACGTGCTCACTGGTCAGGGACTGATGCGTCCGCCCTGACTCTCACTTTCTCTGTGAGGAGGCCTTCTGCCCAGCCAGCAGGAACTAGGAAGTCGGCCCTCCCTCTCCGGTCTCCTGAGGGCCCACGCAACCTTCCAGGTGCCAGGAAGAGGTGGCGCTGACGGGGGCCACTACACCTGTCTCGTTCCTCTAATCCCCCCCACCCTTTTTTAAAAAAATATATATTTTTATTGACTTTTTACAGAGAGGAAGGGAGAGGGATAGAGAGTCAGAAACATCGATGAGAGAGAAACATCGATCAGCTGCCTCCTGCACACTTCCCACTGGGGATGTGCCTGCAACCCAGGTACATGCCCTTGACCGGAATCGAACCCGGGACCTTTTAGTCCGCAGGCCGACGCTCTATACACTGAGCCAAACCAGTTTCGGCTCCAATCCCCTTTTAAAGTGTGGGCTGGTCTCTTACCACAATCAGCACGGCGCCTCGGGCAGCTGTTGGTGTGGCCTCGCCATGGATGCCATCCCCTTGCATGGCACTGTCCCCTGGAGCCAGCTCCCAGTCGAGGGCCCTCCTGTCCTCTGCGCCTGCAGCACAGCCAGGGCGCAGTCCCGTGGAAGCACGGCGGGTGCACACAGACTCACTGAGGCTGCCCTTGGCCTTGAGTAAGGACTTCTCAATGCATTGTCTGTCCTTGGTGAGTTTTCAGAGTCCCCAGATGGGGTTTTGGCAGTTTTATCCAGTGTCATCTTGCTCTTGGGGGAGAAGATTGGGCGAGCTCGCATGCGTTCCAGATGCCCAGAACACGCACCTGTCCGTTTGCTGTTGGAGAAATCTTGGCTGTTGCCCCTTGGGTGTGACCCGATTCCTGTTGATTTGCATCGCACAGGCCGGGACACGTGTGCTGTGTGTTGTTGGGAGATACAGACCACAGAGACCACGGCCCCTTGGACTCCCGGCTAAAATGAGGGAGGTCACAGGAAGGTGTGAAGATGTCACACCCCCTCCCTCTCCCAGAAACGGGGGCCATGTAGTGGGGGCGGGGAGGGGTCCCCACCAGCACACCTGGGCCAGCTCTCAGGGATCCCTGAGAGGTGTGTGGGAGCTGCTCCTTCACTCGGGAGTGGACAGTAGAGTCTCTGGTCTGTGAATCGGGACGTGGAGTTTGCAGACTTGAAGCTCAGGTGAGAGCCTGGCCGTGGGTGTGAACACAGGCTTGCGCGCACACCGCCTGTGGTCACTTGTTTTGGTTCTCCTCTGGCTCCCTCAGCGCCTCCTTTATCCTCTCCTTGTCTGAAATGGGGTCAGGCGTTCATGGTGAAGCGTTCTGGTTTTGCCAGAATCTGCGGGTAGCTTTCCCCATTTGTCGTAGGACTGAACCACCCTCCGGTCCTGGGAGTGCCCTACTTTTATGCTTGCATCTTTCCTCTGTGTCGTGGCCAGCACCCCTCCCCCTGCTGCACTTTGGACCCCAGAGTCTAATCCAAGAGTGTTCCCTCCTGCAGGCGTTGATGACAGGGAGCCTCCCCGGCTTCGTGGATGTCGTCAGAAACCTCAATTCCCCCGCACTGCTGGAGGACAATGTGGTCACACAGGCAAAAGCCGCCGGGAAAAGGATCATCTTCTATGGAGACGAAACGTGGGTGAAGTTATTCCCAAAGCACTTTGTGGAATATGATGGAACAACCTCATTTTTTGTGTCAGATTATACAGAGGTCAGTGTTTAAAACAAGAAACATAGATCCTACCGGGTGGAGAGGCAGCGTTCGTTGTAGTGGTGTTTATTGCTCTATCGGGAGGGTGTGGAGACAGTACGAACGTGGCTCACTTGCACCGTGACAGCCAGGGGCGTGAGCCCTGGTGCAGGTGTGAGCACGGCTCTCTGGAGCCCACAGCCTGGAGGCTGAGCACCGATTGGCAAGTGTCAAGAATCCAGAAGGGCTGCCCAGCCAGGAGTCAGGTGAGCTGGGTGCATAGGTGAGCCGGGACGTCCCACAAGGATAGAGTGGTGGCAGCCTTTGTCTGAGGCGAGCCCAAGGATGCCACACTGCCTGGGGCTCCAAGGCCGTTGGTCCCTCTGCAAGTGGGTCAGCATCGAGTGGGAGGCACAGGGTCGAGGGCAAGCTGGGTGGGTAGTCTTGAGAGGCATCAGCTGGGAGTGCGGCTTCGCCCAGGGGAGGAGTGATGAGAGCCCTTGTTGAAAAGTTGAGCCTGGGTGCAGAGGGAGACCCTTGGGGCAGTGGCACCGCATGTCTGGACTTGGCATTAGGGCGGACAGCATTGCACCCCTCACCCGTCCGTTGGCTAACACAGATGCCCTCTGCTGCAGTGGCCTGTGCAGCATAGCAGTGCTGGCCAGCGGCACCTGAGCCTCCCCGTCCTGTGCACAGTCACTCAGGAACTTCTCTGCCGTAGGCTTCTCAGTGGGAGGGAGGTGGCCAGCAGTGGGGTCCCGGCTGCCCAGGCTACATGGCTCTGTTGGGGGCTGTGGACGGCTCGTCAGAGTGCTGTCTCCTCCCTCCCAGGACAGCTCTCATGCTGGTCACTGGAACCCGGAGCACTGTCCTGTGCTCACTGCCCTCCCCTGTGTAACGGTCCTGGGTCCTTGCTCAGTGCAGCCCCCGCCGTGCCCACAGAGATGTTCTTGCAGCAGACCTTGCTTGGCCCATCTTATAACACTGTCTGCAGCCTGGGGGTGCGAAACGATGTCAGGGAAAGTTTCGTCTCATCTGATGTTTAGTTCTTTATGGCAGTTTTAATTTTTCTTCTTGTCTTTTCGAACTCCCATGAGTCCTGTCACCTACAGTAAACCCTGTGACGTATAACGACAAATCACTTCCTTGGGCAGTGACGATCTAGCTCTTCATTTGCACTTTCCCCTTAAAGGTGGACGATAACGTGACGAGGCACTTGGATAAAGTATTGAAAAGGGGGGATTGGGATGTGCTAATCCTCCATTACCTGGGGCTGGACCACATCGGCCACATTTCCGGGCCCAACAGTCCCCTGATTGGGCGGAAGCTCAGCGAGATGGACAGCATCCTGATGAGAATCCACACCTCGCTGCTGTCAGAGGTGAGCTGCGCTTCGGTGGGCCTTGGTGCCAGGAGGTGCTTGTGCCCACAGTCCCCAGAAAAACTAGCCGGCACGTGAGCTCAGGTGAGCTGAGTGAATGTCACGCCCACCGTCCCTCGGCAGCCTCAGCCGGCACAGGTGCCACTGCGATGCTCACCTGCCTGGTCCCGCCTCCAGTGGCTGTGTCGCCACCATCACCATCCCTCCCACTCCTGCTTCCTGAGTGCCTTCAGGACACTGACCCTGTCTGGGTGTCTGCGGGGTGTGGGCTCCAGCCAGGAGGGCAGACAAGAAGCACAGTGAGTGCATCAGGGTTCTTTTTTAAAAAATATTTTTATTGATCTCGGAGAGAGAGAGAGAGAGAAACATCCATGATGAGAGAGAATCATGGATTGGCTGCCTCCTGCACACACACACACACACACCCACTGGGGATCGAGCCTGCATCCTGGGCATGTGCCCTAATCAGCAATCGAATCGTGACCTCCTGGTTCATAGGGTGACACCCAACCACTGAGCCAGGCCAGCGGGCTGCATGAGTGTTCTTGACGGTGACGTGCCACAGGACAGTGGGGGCAGAAGGAGGGAACCACATCTGAGGGGCTGTGGTTTTCAGCAGCCTGGGCAGAGTAGTCACAGGAGGCGTGAGCAGAGGCTGGACAGGAGGGGGCCGATGTGCCAGGCCAAGAGCAAGGGCGAGGTGGAGCCTGCCAGGCACACCCTGGGCAGCAGAGGTCATGGCGGGAGCCCCAGGGCAGGAAGGTGGCTACATTTGACAGATGGGGGCACCGGGGCACGCAGAGCAGTGTGCCTGCACTCTCACAGCTCAGAAGTGGCAAAGAGGTCCGGGCCCAAATCCTCTGCCCTGAGAGGCCCTCTGTCCAATCCCACTGTGCTGTGTGACCTCCATGTGATTCTGCTTGTTTCATACATACGTTATTTGACCTTGACCCTTTGATCTGACTGTAAGCTCATAGGTAAAAGGAAAAACCCACTGATTTAGAAAGAACTGTTCATGCAGCTAGAGCCTGACGTGCGTTTCCTAGCGAGTACGTGTTCCCAGTGTCAGTGCCGTTGAAACGGCCCCTTTGCCTTACAGGAGAGGGAGGCCCTCTCGCCCAGCCTGCTGGTTCTCTGCAGCGACCACGGCATGTCCGAGAGTGGGGGCCACGGGGCCTCCTCCCTGGAGGAAGTGAACACCGCGCTGCTCCTCACCAGCTCTGCATTCGAGAGGAAGCCCGGTGAGGACGCAGGCATGGCTGACATGCTGAAACTGTACTTTACTGCTGTGTGCTATCACCCGATACTAATTGTAAAACTGTTTTTGGAAGCGAAGTTTGAAATATCCTGAGTAATGGCTGAATGAAAATTCACAGGGCAAGGGGCAGTCAGGATGAGGGGGTCAGATTTCTTGCCCCGATTATTACAATGCAAGTGTCCTTTGTGGGGATTCAGTTGTCTGGATGCCACTGCCTAGATGCCTGGGACTGTTAGTAAGAATGTCCTGTGGCTTAGCGTCTTCGGAGGCACATGTATGAACTGAGAAACATAAGTACTTACATGCCCTTAAAACTACCCTCTGTTAGAAACTAGAGGTTGAGTAGCCGTGTCAGTAGGAGTCACCAGACCGGTCCCAGCAAGATTCACTGAAGACTCATCTGTCATCACTGACACCCAGTTCTGCACCCAAACACATGGCCCCTCTGACCCACCCGCCTGCCTCAGGCATGGCCGTCTCCGCCACCCTCCCCGTGGGCCTGCCTTTGCCCCTCGCTTCACTTGCTGTTGTTTCTGTGGATTCTGTGGCTTCCTCTCACAGTTCCTTGCCATCACCCAGCACTGTTGGAGCCAGCCTTCCAGTGAGCGGGTACAGTGCCCACCAGGGCACCGACCTCTGCACCCCGCCACCCTCACTCGACCACAGCACTGGCCTCTGTGCCCCACTATCCTGACTCGACCACAGCACCGGCCTCTGCGCCCCACTATCCTCACTTGACCACAGCACTGGCCTCTGCGCCCCACTATCCTCACTTGACCACAGCACGGCCTCTGCGCCCCACTATCCTCACTCGACCACAGCACGGCCTCTGCGCCCCACTATCCTCACTCGACCACAGCACGGCCTCTGCGCCCCACTATCCTCACTCGACCACACAGGGTGGCCACCGAGTCGGGTGAGAGCCCTGCACTAGAAACGGCTTCTTCCCAGCATTTGCTCGTCCTGCCCAGGTGCGTGAGCTCCTGGGATGGAAATGGCACCACGTGAAAATGTCTCACAAACACGTGTTCACGGACATTCACAGCAACATCATTCATGAGAGCCAAGAAGTGGGAACCCCAGCCCTGATGAGGTGGCTGAACGTGGTGCGTCCACACAGCAGACACCACCGACAGAGGAAGGAGTGAGGGTGGGCCGTGCAGCAGGGCTGTCTCAGGAGGAAAAGGACAGCTGCACAGCTGGGAGGCCCTTGTGCGGGCAGATGGCCTGGAGGCCTGCGGGGACGTGTGTTTAACTTGACTTTCTCTAAGAATAGTTATATCCTGCAGACTTCACTCCTTCTGTCCATTGAGTCAGTATCAGTTTTAGAACATTTGTGTGAGTGGTCCCCACCACTCCCATCCCCGCCACCACACCCCACCCCTCCAGCAAGTAGTGTTTCTGTTGCTGTTAGATTTGCGTCTTCCAGGGCTTCTAATACGAGGAGCCCTCGGGTGGTGGTCTTGTGGCCAGGATAGAGGGCCCTGCAGTGCTGCTGAGCAATAGCTGTGGTGTGGGCACGCGTGTCCATTTATCCATTCATCTGTGGACGGGGCTGTGAACATTCGTCAGCAAGTGTTTGTGAAGATGTATTTTCATGTGGTGTCTTTTAAAAAATGTATATTCTTATTGATTTCACAGAGGAAGGTAGAGGAAAAGAGAGATGAAAACACCAGTGATGAGAAAGCATCACTGATGAGCTGCCTCCTGCACGCCCCTCCCTGGGGATGGAATCCACAGCCTGGGCCTGGGCCCTGAGCGGCGGGGCCTGTGGTGTCATTTTTCTCCAGGGCACCTTTGACTCCCTCTGTGCTATTGCTGTCAGGTGGCTTCTGCAGGGCACAGCCAGGTCTGTGCGCAGCACGGGGCTGCTGCAGTCAGTGTCGGGTCTCAGCACGACAGCCAGGCCCCACCAGTGTCAGTGCTGAGAACGACCCCTCAATGGAAGAGACTATGAGAAGAAAGGTAATATTGGAGTGGAAAACTTCTAAGTATAACTCAGGAGGCATCAGTAGAGGGTTGGTCAGACAAGAAGAATAAATTGGACCCAGTTAAAAAGAAAATTTCATACAACCCAAAATTACCGTAATCAAAGCTAAACCTCTGCAAACTCGCCCCAGAGTGGGAGGCTGGCCCCAGGCTCCGCTGACCCACGTGCACAGGCGGCTGGGGGGACGGGGGAATTTCTCCACCAAGAAGAGGACGCCTGCGCTGAGCTTCCTGTCCAGGGCCTCGCAGGGCCTGGGGCAGAGCCGGGCCTGAGCCCAGGTCGTGACTCACCCAGTCCCCTTGTCGGGCCCATTAGGCGCCAACCCCTGCCTAGTGCAAAGCGCTGCAGGTGCTCAGGCCGTGGCCACTGGGCCAGCCTCCCCTGCTTTCCCAGAGGCGCCCCGAGGGGCTGTGAGCACCAATCTGATCCAGAGGGCGGGGCCGCCAGGGACCCCCAGGTGACCATCTGCTGCGCCACCTGCTCCCTGTGCCGGCGTCTCCCAGGCGCCGTGGCTGCTTCAGGGAAGGTGGTGGTCAGTCGGCTCACTGACAGCACGGTGCAGTGATCCATTTAAATCTACAGGGAATGGTTTGGCGAGATGGTGACTGACGTGCGTTGTCAGAGGTCAGGTGTGTCCGAGAGCCTGTCGCTGACCCTGCTTCCTCCCCTAGGTGAAGTCCGGCCCCCAGAGCGTGTGCAGCAGACGGACCTGGCCGCCACCCTGGCGGTGGGGCTCGGCCTGCCTATCCCGCAGCACAGCGTGGGCCGCTTCCTGTTCCCCGTCGTGCAGGGCAGAGCCCTGCGGGAACAGCTGAGGCTCCTGCACTTGAATGCAGTGCAGCTCAGCAGGCTGTTGCGAGCGCGCATCCCGGGGTTTGAGAGAGGTGAGTCACGGCCACCCTCGGTCAGGCTGGGGCCCCGCGTGCCCTGGCCCTCGCTGCGGCCTGGCTGTGCTTCAGAGCTCGGCCATCACCGCGAGCAGCACCCAGAGGCCGTTGTCTCAGGCATGTGCTCCCAGACGTGTGCTCAGTCAAGGAGTGGTGACTCTTCCCACTGTTTCTGTTTGGACAGCAGGGCCAGGGCTGCCCTCGTGGAGCGCAGCTTGAGAGGGAGCAGGAGGTGGCCATGGGGTCAGGTGGTGTGTGGGTGGCGAGGCCTGGGGGGGACGTGCCTCACTTGCAGGGATGAAGGGGCGGGAGTGGCTGGAGCAGAGGAAGGCACAGGACGGGAGGCCAGGGGTGTGGGGGCCTCTGGGACCCTGGCTAGAGTAGGGGCTCTCGCTTTCGTCCTGAGTCGCGGAGCCTGAGCTCTGCAGCCGGCACTTGGGAGGTTCTGGGGCCAGGGAGGCTGGAGGAGAGCTGGGAGGAAGCTGCCCAGAGAGGACTCACAATACGAAGCCGGTAGAAGACCCAGGCTATTGCTGAGAGGCAGGCAGGGCAGCCATGCGGGGGCGGGGGGAGGGGTTGTGGATGTCGGGGAGACGGCAGCAGGCACCCATCCTCCCAGTCCTCACCAGGGCGAGCATGGGGAGGTTTCTGTAAAGTCGAGGGCCTGTTAACACGAAGCATTTCTGGGTAGTTTTCCATTGCAGGAGCAGAGGGGAGGGAAGGAGAGAGGGAGCAGGGGAGGAGGAGAGGCAAGGCCAGGGGTGGAGGCAGAGGGATGGGGGAGGTCGGCTGTAAGGAGGTTGGAGGGTGCTGGCCCGTGACCAGCCCACACACGAAGGTTCCTGGGCGCCAGCTGTCAGGTTCTCCCACGGGCCGCGGAAGCCACTGGGAACCCAGTGCCTACGTCTGTGCTGCGTCCGCAACCTGTTCCTCTTCTTGTCAGAGCATGGATTCGAACAGTTTAAAGTATCAGAAAGGCTGCACGGAAACTGGGTCAAACTGTACTTGGAGGAAAATAATGCAGAAATCCTTCTCAACATGGGAGCCAAGGCCCGCAAGCAGTACCTGTACACCCTGAAGGCCCTGAGCCAGGCCTTGAGCAGCCAGGAGGCCCAGTACGACATCTACTCCATGGTGGTGGGGACCGTCGTGGTTCTGGAGGTACGGTGCTCGCACGGAGCGAGGCTCACCTGTGGAGCTGGCTCCATACCCCAGCCAGGATATCGCAGTGGAGTGTCTAGCACATCAGTGTTCCCCAAAACAGGAAACTGGTTTTCTGTTTGCTCACGTGTGCCCTTGTGCACAGCCCTGTCCAGGCGGGTGGCTGGAGGCGTGGCTTGGCCTTTCCCTCTGCCATCGTGGACCGGCCGGTGCTTCCCACCCAGGTCCTCGCCCTGCTCCTGCTCAGCGTCCCGCAGGCCCTGGGCACCACGGCGAAGCTGGAGGTCCCTCTGTCGCCCGTGTGTTCTCTGCTCTTCTACGTGATGTTCCTGCTCCTCTGGGCCACGCACATGGTCGTGTGCACCTCCGCCGAGAGCTTCTGCTACCTGTGCAGCCTCGCGTGGCCCGTGGCGGGCGTGGTGCTGGCGCTGGTCTCCGCGCTGCTCTGTGGGGTCTTGTCCACTCTGACCAGGATGTGTCTGCGTGGAAAGCTTCTGAGGAGGGTAAGGCTGGCTCCCGCAGAGGGGACACATCTCTTGGTGTAGGCTGCACTTGGTAGTTGAGTACCTTTCCCTCCCGATGTGTGCGGCAGGTGCAGCGCTGGCCGGAGCCTGGGAGGGCAGCCTGTCCCCAGGCTCTGGGCCCACCTCACACTCTCAGCTCCGTGCTGACAGGTCCCAGGCCTCGCCTGTCAGGTGAGAGAGGGTGGGAGAGTGAGAGAGACAGAAACATCAATGATGAGAAAGAATCATGGATCAGCTGCCTTCTGCATGCCCCACACTGGGGCTTGAGCCCATAACCCAGCCATGTGCCCTGACCGGGAATCGAGCTGTGACCTCCGGGTTTATAGGTTGATCTCAACCGCTGAGCCACACTGTCTTTAGTTTTATATGCTTCAGGTTGGTACATTGAAGGGATGGTGCTGTGATGCCAGCTTTGTCATTTCAGTAGAATGAACATTTCAGTGGAAACTTCTGGATTTCTGGAAAATTCATGGTTGGATTCTTGGGAAATATCGTTGAGGTTCTTTGGTTTAGTAGTGGGAACTGGCCGTGGCTGCCTGACGACCCAGGCTCGAGAGGACAAAGATGTAGTATGAAGGGCTGGGTTCAGGGGCCAGGCCCAGGTCTCTGAGCCCCCACACTGCCCAGGTGGTGCGGGTCTAGGCACCATGTCCCGTCACCGGGCTTCGGACGGCTGTGCTGAGGAGGGCAGGCCCTTCCTCCAGAGCCAGGGGAGCATCTGATGAGTGTCCCACGGGCTCTGCTCTGTGCTCAGCGTGTAGCCCGTTGTGTGCGGTTCTCAGGTTCCCCTTACAAAGTCCACCTTCCTTTCTACAGAAGGCAGCTCCTTCCCACTGGAAATGGTCGGAGCTGGACTTCCTCATCCTGGTGGGGACTGCAGGCCACGTCCTGAGTCTGGGTGCGAGCAGCTTCATCGAGGAGGAGCACCAGACCTGGTACTTCCTCATCAGCACCCTGTGTCTGGCTCTGAGTCACGAGAGCTACAGAAGCTGCTTCCTGGGAGACGATGAGGAGCCTGAGCGTCGCCCACGGGTGGCAGGAGAGTTTGCCGGCGCGGCATCAGCTTTGCCGGACAGAAGCGTCAGCTGTGACATGTTAGAGCTCGACCAAGCACGCCAGAGCCCCTCTTCCCTGGACGGACTCCGAGGGCGTGAGAAGTGCATGGCGCTGGCCAGCCCGTGGCTGATCCTCGGCTGCTGCCGGCTGCTGCGGTCTCTGAACCAGACGGGGGTGCAGTGGGCCCACCGCCCTGACCTGGGACACTGGCTCACCAGGTGAGAGCATGCGCCGTGGCCACGCTAGCTGGCCAATTGTCGCCTTTCTCCACATGGAGCCCGTTTGTCATGTTTAGGATGGAAGTGGTATTTGAGATTTGAAGAATTAGAAAAATACACCCTAGCGCATGAATTGATGTTGAAAAGCAAACTTATGTCAGGCTAGCCTATGTGGTTGGTTTTATGGCCGAATCACTGCAGCTGATGTTTGAGAACCTGTGAGTGTTCAGTGATGATCACAGCGAGGAGCTGGCTCTGCCCTGGCCACTGCTCCCGGGAGGACAGGCTGTGACATACGTGGTCAGAAGCCCTCGACAGCTAGTGGCTGTGCGGGTGCTGCTTCAACACCTGGGAGAAGTGCAGCAGGTGAAAACCAGACTGGAAAGGGGGGCTCATGACAGTTAGACGGGGGCGGTGGGGCTCAGGACAGTCGGACATCAGTGTGAGGGGCTTGGGACAGTCGGACGTCAGTGTGAGGGGCTTGGGACAGTCGGACGGGATCTGTGAGGGGCTCAGGACAGTTGGACATCAGTGTGAGGGGCTTGGGACAGTCAGACGTCAGTGTGACGGGCTCAGGACAGTCGGACATCAGTGTGAGGGGCTTGGGACAGTCAGACGTCAGTGTGACGGGCTCAGGACAGTCGGATGGGGTCTGTGAGGGGCTCGGGACAGTCGGACATCAGTGTGACGGGCTCAGGACAGTCAGACATCAGTGTGAGGGGCTCAGGACCGTCGGACGGGGTCTGTGAGGGGCTCAGGACCGTCGGACGGGGTCTGTGAGGGGCTCAGGACCGTCGGACGGGGTCTGTGAGGGGCTCAGGACCGTCGGACGGGGTCTGTGAGGGGCTCAGGACCGTCGGACGGGGTCTGGGAGGGGCTTGGGACAGTCAGACGTCAGTGGGACGGGCTCAGGACAGTCGGACGGGGCCTGTGACGGGCTCGGGACAGTCGGACGGGGTCTGTGAGGGGGGCTCAGGGCAGACACTGACACCTGCAGCAGGAAACTTCAGCAGAACAGGGAAATGCTTCCTCCGACCAGCAGTTGGGAGTTTCAGGTGGAATAACAGGGCACTTTTATCTAACAAGATAGGGAACAGAAGGGATAGGCGGCCTGGGTGAGGCCGCAACCTGGCCCACAGGACAGTCACTGGGGAAACAGTGTGGCCTGTGCCTCCAGCCCGAGTGTGGCTCCTTCCTTGACTGCGAATTCTATGGGGAATCTCCCATCCCAGCATCAACCACCGACAGCCCACTCCACGCCCTCAGTAGCCTGGAGAGAGGAGCGAGGCCGAGCCCACGGGCCCTGGGACCGCACAGGGGCCGTGCCTGCTGCTCAGGAAAGTGCGGCCGTGCTGGGGGCGTGCTGTCCTCTCCACACTGGACCCCGGGCCCTTCCCCTCGGGCTTCTGCGTCTCAGGCTGCCCCTGCCGGTTTGCAGAGGCGGCCCTGGGACCAGGACAGAGCTGCTTGGGGGCATCCAGGCTCACCTTCTGGTGCTTTTTCAGTTGTGACCATTTCCCACCAGGTCAGGACATACATGTCCAGTTTAAACAGCAACAATGAGTGGACCCCATGTGACCACCCCCAGAGCAAGACCCTGGCCATGGGCAGCCTCTGCCTGTCTCCCAGGCGTGCTTCCTTCGTGTGTTTCATTTCGTGAGTGAACGGCGCTCCCCGGCTGCAGCAGTGGGCGTGGCCAGGCAGTTGGGCGCCCCCCGACCCGGTAACCACTGCCTGTGAGCCCCCCAACTTCTCTGGGATCTCGGGCCCTGAATGGAGATCACACCAGGAGGTGCATGACCCCCGGAGTGGGATGTACCCTGGGAAGCACAGGGTTTGCCCAGCACCTCCTCACCTATGTAGGGAACATGTGGCTGCCCAGAAAAGGGGCGCCTGGCCGAGCGGTGGGTGGACCACTGTGGACAAGAAGCAGTAGGTCAGGGCAACAGCCCTTCGTTTGTACATTGTGAGAGCCTGTCTGCATTTCAGTCACCAACTGTTTTCTTCCATGCTTTTCAGAAAAATCAGCTGTTTTTACGACAGTTCTTAGAAAGCCACGCAGCAGAGACCCAGCCTCGCTAGCTGCACTTGTGGGTAATTCCTGGCACTTTCCATTCCCTTTCAGTCCTGACCACCAAGCCGAACTCTCCGTCCTCGCTGCCCTTTCCCTCCTCGCCATCTTCGCGCTGGTTCAGAGCAGGTGCTCCTCGGTGGCCAAGGGGGCCCTGGCGCTTGGCCTGCTGGGTGTCTACTGCTACAGGGCAGCCACTGGCCACGTGCTGTCCCCATGGCAACAAGACAACAAGGACGTTTCCAGGTAGTGTGCTGCAGCCCGGGGCTTGTTTTGAGGTCTCTCTGGTTTTTGAAGGGACACCTGCCTGCTGCCTTCAGGACGCTGGTGAAGTGGTTTCACCGAGAAAGCCAAGGGCCTGCTGAGTGCTCAGTGAGCTGACCCTGCCCTCTGTCCTGGTGGGAGACAGTTGCTCGGCGATGAGGTGTTTGAGAGTCATTTTTTTTAAATACGGAATTTTTTTAAAAAACAAGGCATCTCAAGGATTCAGTGTTGCCTGGTCAGGACGAATGAGCTAGAAGAGCCAGTGGGTGTTGCCTAGCAGTTGGGAAACACGGCAGAAAACTAAACTCGCCCAGGTCTTGCCGGGAACCCCTGAGGAGCCTCGTGCCACTGAGCCCCGAGTCACCTTGCAGGTCAGGGCAGCTGCTCTGTCTCCAGGAGACGGGAGGGTGGGGGGCGGGGGCAGTGTCCCAGGAATGTTGGAAACGTGCGGACCCTCCGACCCAGGTGTCCTCTCGAGCAGCGAGGAGGCCCGAGGCGAGGGGTGGGCTCTGCTCTCCAAGGCACTAGCGTGGCACCGTGGGAGGCAGCAGGGCCAGCCGTGGGGGAGCTCTGAGCGAGCGAGGCTTGTCCTGGGCTCGCAGCCCCCTGCGTCGGCTGAGCTGCGTGTGTTCACGGGACGTGCAGAGACGCAGAACAGCAGGCTGTCCTTGTGTGCAGCCTGAGCCTGTGAAGTAGGAGCGTCGCTTTCATTTCATGTGAAAGACTCACAGTGGGCACTGGCCCTCGGTGGGTCGGTGGCCGAGGGGCACGGGTACCCCTGGAAATGGCCTGCCAGCTGGCGTGGGGAGTCAGTGATGCCAGGGGCCTGGTGAGGGGATGCCCCCGACACAGGGAGGCCAGATGGGGCAGCGTGGTGTGCAGGCATCTCAGAGGCGCGCACTTTGTCGTCGGAGATGGGGCACCTGCCGGAGAGGGAAGCCACAGGCGGGTGTTTAGTGCAGTTGTTGGTCTCAGTCTGAGTCTGTGACGCACAAGCGGACCCTCCTTCCTCTCTGGTGGACGCACCAGTTTCAGCGTCGCTCGCTTCAGAGCTGGGGGCAGTGTGATCCTCTCACGGACCCAGCGGCTTGTGGGCCGGAGCCCCCTTTGGTGAATCTGTGCTGCTGGGTTCACGTGCTTCCTGCCAAGTGCCTCCTGCCCGGCCTCTCTGTCCCGGTCCTCGGCCCCTCCTGCTGCCAGAGCCGCTCAGCCCAGAGCTGTCCTGAGTCCAGAGCACTGACGGCTGCTTCTCTCCTCTCGGGCCCCAGGTGCTGCTGCCTGTCCGTCTTCTAGAGCTTGCCTTTACGTTTAATGCCTGGCTCTCCTCAAGTGGAAGCCCATGTTCAGCGGGCAGGGCAGGCCAGGCCGCGGCGGCGCCCTTCCTCCTGGTCGCCCGGCATTCAGCCCTGCCCTCTGTCAGCTCTGACCACTCCGGCTTCGGCTGCGCTCTCTGCTCAGCATGGCTCCCGCCTGGGTGGGCTGTGCCTGACCACATCTCCGTGGCAGGCCTCAGGGACAGTGTTTCACTGTTTGAATTAAACTCATACTAAAAAGATAATTTTTTAAAAATGCGTAAACCTTCCTAAGAAAATCTGAAAGTTTATTTTTTCAAAAATATATATTGTTTTGATTATTTCATTTACAGTTTTACTTAGCGTTACTGTACTTATTTGTTCTTACTTTGAGAGGATGTTTATTAAAGCTGGACAGGGTCACAGGAAGGGCTCGGTAGAAGCAGCACCAGGAGAGCCCAGGGGGGCCACTTGGCTTTACTTTAAATCATCAGCCTTTCTAGGATAAAATATTTGCTTTATGAAATTTTTTAAATGTATTTATTGTCTAAAGTTTTACATATGCCTCCTTTTTCCCCACTTGACCACCCCACCCAGCTATTCCCGCCCCCACTACCCCAGTGTCCTGACCACTGGTTATGCTAATGTGTATGCACTCTAACCCCCTCACCTGCCATTTGTGTATCTATTCTTTTTTTTTTTTCCCACTTTATTTTTTCTTTATTTTATCGTTGGGGGCCATAATGATTTCTGAATAAAACCTGGTAGGTAGGTTATCTTT